AGACAAGTCCAGACACAAGTTGAAAAGAACCTTTCTATTATGGACTCACTTGCCAACATATTATAGAAAGCAGTTCCTACTGGACCTAGGGAAAGCGCCTTCTCAATAGAATGTGACCTTCTCCTTCCAGAATCACAGATTTATGAATTTTCCTGTTGGTTTCTTTATTTTTATCTCCCTAGTTGCTCAGAGGAAAATCAGGGTAATTCTGACAGTAGAACTTTCAACCTAAGGCCTTTTATTGCTCCTGGGTTTGTGGTTTTGGGTATTACTCATACATTTACATCCACAAAGTAACCTTGAGTTGTTGAAATGTAGTCTTTAATTAATCAAGTAATCTAAGTAAAACCTTCCCTGTTAGGCATTTCTTGTATCATTTTTCCAGTGAATTTTGAAACTGGGTTTCCAATAATTTTCTGATCATGAAGGATCCTCTGGCTTCGGACTCACAGTAGAAAAGTTCGTGGAAAGCCTAGGGTGTTAACTTCTTTCTGGGCTGTATTCCAGCTGGTTTTAAATCACTCTGCTTGCTTTGGCTTTACCACATTCCCTCTTTATGTGGGTGTTATAGGAACCTTCACTAGTGTCCAGTAAAACTCACCCCTCGCCTCTCAATCTTGCTACAAAAGGTTGGAAAAAACCTGGTGGTAATCTTACCTTAAAACTCGGGCCAAAGGATAGACAGAGGTAACTGGAGGGGAAGTGAGGTGTGGTGGTCATTTTTCACACTTAACTGTTTGTGAGGAACAATCAGGAAAGAGCTCCACAGAGGGAATGGCCCTTATGTAGTGAGCCCTCTGGAGGAAATACGAGTCCCATGAGAATTCGAGGTTCACCTAGATGTTTAAGAAAGGATTAGTAATTCATGTGTGCTACCAGCCAAAGGCAAAAAGGAAGTTATTCTTGTGTTGTGGGTGGCCAATGTCCATGGAGCTATGGGATTATCTGACAGAGATAAATAACAATGAAGAAAAACAAATGAGGGATTATTTCTAAGCAGACAGCTCTACTATTAAGACATCTAGGTAAGCAATGAGCACATAGGGGGATGTTCAAGTGTAGAGAGCATCACACCTCTCATAATATATTTTCATTAAAAAATTATTTTACCTCCCTTTTATAATTATGAAGGTAATACATGTACGTTGAAGAATAATCAGACTGTATGGGAAGAAAATTAAGGAACTTAGAAAAAATATAAACCTACCACAATTATTTTCATCATTGTGCATTACCTTCTAGTTTTTGTCTAATGCTTTCATTTGCCTTGAGTTGTAATCTGCTTAATATTAAATCATAAACATTTTCCCGTGTTGTTACATAGTCTTTATCATTCTCATTTTACAAGGCAATATACCAGTTCATCGTATTGCGTCTGTTAAACCATTTTCCTATGGTGAGATATTAAGAAACATGTACTTTTATGGATAAGTTGAATTATATTCTTCATAGATGGTATTTTGATTCATTGCATTTGGGGGGAATACATTTTCTAGGAACCATCTTGGGTTCATTAGACATAAGAATTTATTAAAAATGAGAATTACCCAGTACCTGTTCCACCAGCCATTTGTAGAAGTTGATACCATGGAGTTGGTATTCAAAAAAAAAAAAAGAAAGAGAGAGAGAGAGAGAAAGAAAGAAAGAAAGAAAGAAAGAAAGAAAGAAAGAAAGAAAGAAAGAAAGAAAGAAAAGAAAAGAAAGAAAGAGGAAGGAAGGAAGAGAAAGAAAGAAAGAAAGAAAGAAAGAAAGAGAGAGAGAGACAGAGAGAGAAAGAAAGAAAGAAAAGAAAGAAAGAAAGAAAGAAAGAAAGAAAGAAAGAAAGAAAGAAAGAAAAAAAGAAAGAAAGAAGGAAAGAAAAAAGAAAGGAATGAAAAGTGCTCTTTGGGTGTCAAAGAGAGTCAAAGAGAAATTTAAGGCGTTAGTAGAGAGATTAGTGACTATAATAACGTATTTCTGTGTTCTGGATAGGAAGGCATTCAGCATGGTCCGTGCAAAATGAAGCCAGAATTAATTCCAAGTAGAAATGCAATTAACGTTAAGAAAACTTTTCTTGGCATTATAAACTAACACATGTACTTTTATATGCTGCAAAGTTGAAAAAAAGTTAAAATTCTGAAGTATTGAGGCCACAGCTATAAAAAATTAAGGTTTTAAACTAGATTTATGAAAGTAAGAAAATATATGTTATGGTATGCTAAATGCTATTCTAAATAGTGCTGGCAAATGTTCAACTTCTGCCAATGTGAACAATTATTTTTGCTGGCCAAAACAGTTCAAACAAAAACAGAAGTAAGCCACCATTTCTTAACATAGTAAAGTTGAAAATTTCAAACATTTAATGGAAATTATTTTCACGTTTATTTCATTGGTATTCAAAGGAAGTAGTAGCAATTCCTTAAAAGTTTGTGTTTATAACAAAAGTAAATTGCTAGTGTAAAGTTATTTGGAGGTTAGAAGTATGATAAATGGAGACGGTTTAGAAAGAATCAAGTATATCTATTTTAAAAACATTATTATTAGCTTCTTCCTTCTTTGGCCCTCAGACTGTGTAAGGGTCTGAAAAGGATGCGGTGAGTGGACTACCAAATATTCGCTCTTTTTTCATGTTTAACAGAAACTGAATTGTTCTCAGTGACTTCCATGGATCCAGCTAAAATACTTCCCCAGACTTGCTCACAGTTTGGGGTAGTGGCATGACATTTCAGCTGATGAAATAATTGACAAAAATCTCCTAGATTCTACTTCTTTACTCTTCTTTCCTTCTTGTTCTTGCCTGGAAAGCACATAGTGAGGTTGAAGGTAACAGCCAACTGGACACATCCCACAGTAAGGATGAGGAATTAGGCTACGTAATGAGAATGAGGAGTGAAAAGGAAGTAGGATCCTGGGGCACTGATGGCACCATGGAGCCACTGGGCTGTTTGTCTCTGCACTTTTTTATGTGAGACAAATTATGCAAGGCTGTTTGGTTAAGCCACTGTCATCAGATTTCTGTTACATACAGTGCACACAAATGCTAAATGATGCAAAGCCCTTGATATAGCCTCTTTTTGTATCCTGTACTTTTTTTTTTTTTTTAAAGATTTTGTTTATTTATTTGACAGAGAGAGATAGTGAGAGCAGGAACACAAGCAGGGGGAGTGGGAGAGGGAGAAGCAGGCTTCTGCAGAGCAGGGAGCCTGATGCGGGGCTTGATCCCATGACACTGGGATCATGACCTGAGCCAAAGGCAGACGCTTAACGACTGAGCCACCCAGGCGCCCTGTATCCTGTACTTTTATTTACAAACTATCCATAATGGATAATAATGTGCTTAATGGTTTTTGTCCTCAAATACTCTTGAGTTATTAATTACATTAATGACAATATTTGTAAAGCATTCTCTCTTGCTCATCATTGTATTAAATGCTTATAAGTTTCTGACACATTGTGTGCACTTAATAAATATATATTTCCAGGTAATTTGGAAAGCTGTTTTGATTCCAAAATGCACACCCACACACCCACACCCCCCCCACACACATGCACATCTTTACATAAATGTATGTATGTGCAAACATTCTATATAAGTTATGTGTTTTAAAACACTTCTATGGCTTTGAAATACTTAGATATTAAAGAAACACTCTATGAGAATAATTGTCACTATTTCTTTTCCAACTAGGTTTTGTATATTACTGTAATGATGGACATTTATGTGTCTCACTGAACTCTAAGGTCTTAGGGAAATGTAAGGGAACTGATGTGGCTGAAAGGGAGATAAGGAAACAGTGACTTTAAATCTCCAGCAGCATTTGTCAGGCCACCTGAATAAGCATTCTGTAAAAACAAAACAAAACAAACACACAGGATTTTAAACTCAAGGAACTTTTGGAAATACAGCATGTTACACCATCTTTTTCCTGGTGATTTATGGGTCCATTAAAGTTGCCTACAGTAGAGAAATCTGTTTACAATTGTGTAATCTGGCATTTTCCAATCTTATGTGCCATGAAACCCTTCTATTCAAGTTATTCCTATTAATAATGCCCAGTGGAAATACTTCTGTGACACATACTCTGGGAAACCCTGCAATATAGGGACCAGAAACATGAAAAATCACCATTATTCTGTGGTATTGATCTAGATTTTTTAGTGCAATTGGTTAGTAATCAGCAATAAAACATATGACTTTTGGAAAAGAGAAGAAAAATGAAGCCTTTTACAGAAGACCGAAATACCTAGTTTACTATAAAGGTGAGACATTTATTTTGTTCCTCATTTTAGCTCTGGTGGCCAGAGTATCTATGTGTAACACAAATGTGTTCAATAAGTTCTTATTGATGGAAGGAAGGCTTCATGGGAGGAAGGATTGATGGAGAGAGGGTAATGAATCTCATGGGATACCAGTATTCTAGAGAAACACCCTGGGGAAGCTGCCTAAGAGCCATGGTTTGATAAGCTTTCTGGAGACTTGAACATGCCTCACATATTGCTTTTTCTCCAAATTCTCATTGCTTAAAATTTTGAGTTTTGCGCCAATGACAGAAAATACGTGTACTTGATATCTGTCAATCAGAATTTTCTCAACATAGTACTCCAAGCAACTACTACCAGTTGATTGGCATAAGCAAGAGAGCTAAAATCATTTCTAATATAATAGCTGCCATCCCTAATGTAAGCCTTAATATTCCTTTTTCCCCAGTCAAGTAACTTATACTTATTTCATAATCACTAGCCTCATGCCCCTAGCATTATCTGAAGACAGATTATTTACTTTTTCCCTCAAGTACTATTGTGGTGGTTTTAAAATGACCACAAATTTCATATTTATCTTCACTAGATGGAAGATAATTCCTTGTCCACCTAATGTTGGCTGGGGTAGACTTAGTGAATCTCTTCTAATGCAAAGAATATAATGAAAGTGATGGTGTGAGACTTGAAAGACAGGATATAAAAGACACTGTGACTTCCTGCTTATTTTTTCTCTTTCTCTTTCTCTTTCTACTTTTCTCAAGCTCAGATAATTCACTGTGGAGGAAGCTAGTAGCCAGGCTAGAAGCCCATGTGGTGAGGAACTGAGGCGTCCCACAGACAGCCATGTGAGTGAACAATCTGAAAGTGGCACCTTCAGCCCCAGTCAAGCCATCAGATGAAACTGCAGTATCAGCCAGTATCCTAACTACAACCTCCTGAGAGGCTCTGAGCCAGCGCCCCCCAGGTGAGTGACTTCTGGTCTCCTGACCCATAGAAACTAAGCAATACATGATTCCTATTTAAACCATTAGCCTTCCTAATGGTTTAAATAGGAATTTTAGGAGTTAGGAGCTTTAGGATAATATTTAATATATAAATGGATAACTAATTCAGCAATTTGAAGAACTTTTAAAGAATTAGGACTCATTTACAGCCGCTTTTAAAACCCACCCTCCTCTACTCCCAATTTCTCCACTTCAGTATGACCAAGTTAGCTAGTTTCCATCAATTCCTGTTTTTTTTGTTTTTCTTTCTTTCTTCTAAAGCAAATGTCAGAAAGTTCTTTTAATACATGGCCAGATAGTAAATATTTTAGGCCTTGTGGGCAATGTGGTTTTTGTCACAACTACTGAACTCTGCCCTTGTAGCATGAAAGCAGCTGTAGATAATATTTAAATGAATGAGTATGGCTGTGTTCTAATAAAAGCTTATCTATGGACACTGAAATTTGAATTTCACATAATTTTCACATCATGAAGTATTATTCTCCTTTTGATTTTTTTTCAACCACTTAAAAATGTAAAAATCATTCTTAGCTTATAGGTCACTTAAACCCAGGCAGTGGGCCAGATTTGGCCCATGGGTATAAGTTTGCTGATTCTTGTATTAATAGAATTCTTGATATTTAACTGTCACATAGTGCCCAAAATAAATACATATTTCAGACAATAATCATGTGACCAAATTATGGTTAAGGGGATGTAGGTGAAAATGATGTGTGCAAATTCTGAGTCATGCTCTTAAGGGAAGTGGTGGACTTCCCTACCCTTCCCCCACCTTTATTCCCTTTTCCACTTCTCATTGGCTACAGTGAAGATCATCTTGGACCATGTAGATGACAGAAATGTCCTTGGGATGGTGGAACAAACAGAAAGAGCCAGCATTTCTAGCTTTGGATCATGTTGAGTCATACTGTTATAAGGGTGAGAAATAGACTATGTTTTTAGATCCTTTTCACACCTCATCAAATGTTAGTTCTCACTAATTTAGCTGGTTAGTCTTTGGCTACCATCTCTTAAGTAATAACGTTAATGTGTTATACGTTCAAGAATCACTGCAGACAGTGGTTAACAGCTATGTGTGGAATTAAAATTCATTCTAGGTTACTTATCAAGTCAGAGTAGCCTGGACATAGGATAGCTTTAACTTTTTTAAAAACCCAGAATTTCTAAAAAATTGCAGGTATTTGCCTTTTCTTCTGATTGTTGATTTCCTGCAATTGGACCTGAACAAATGTGCCTTTGTATCCCTTTTCTCCCACTTCTATCATATTATGGCCAAGAGTGGAACATTATTAATCGAGAGAAACATAAACAGTTCACTCTTTATAATCCCTGAGGAAGAATTAATTCATATTGTCCTTTGTGGAGCTTATTTATATAAATGAATGGGTTTAAAATCCACCCCCCCCCAAGATCCCATGGTTCTATGGATTTTCTCATTCATATCACTGAAAGAAAATGTAGTCATAATAGATATACTTATTTTGTAAACACTTTTTTATTTTCCATAGCAGAACTTGGGGGTCCCAGGCTGTGAACCACAGTGAACAAAAATCCCACAGCCAAAGTCTGCAAACCACTATGAGAATCATCAGCCATCACTTGGCAGCACCAAAGCATCAGGCATTGTCCAAACACAATTGTTTGAGTTCTTGTGCCGACACAGTGTTTCCCATTCATCCGCCCACCGTGCCCCCCTCCACCCCCCCGCACCGCCACCCCTTCTCTCCCTGCCAAAAACCCAACTCGGTTTAAGTAGGCACAAGCTTCCAAGTCCTGGCTGTTAGTGTCCCCAAGAGATTTCAGGGAGATGCACCCTTGGCTGAGGGTTAGAGCCAGAGGTCAGGCAGTGAAGGGAACAGTGTCTGGGTTTTGAGAACAGCTGGAGCTTCGGAGGGAGAAAAGCAGTTTGGCAAATGAGGAAAGAATGTACTTGTCACTTCAAGAGGCAAGAAACTTGGATTTCTCTCCTGCTTCTGCCAGCAAGTGTTTATTGGAAAGGAGAGTGGTGGTGATGGCAGGTGAGTTTTGCTTAGGACTTGATGGAATGTTTCATGTTTATTTTACCTTTTCAAAGAGCAGATAAATGTACAAATCCCACAGTATAACTATTCTGAATTCTGCTCTTGTTTTTATTGGATAAGTGAGTGTTGTTTTCAGAGTTATTTTTAAGAATGCTGCCCCTGGCCCATTTTGAAACTCTGCTTGCTTTCCTTGTATGTGAGCTAATATTTGTTGTAGGGATTTTGGAGAAAAGTAGCAGAGGGTATTAAATGGAAGGTGAAGGCCTAAGGGAGAAAAAATGCTGTTCTGAGAACATAAGCTGAATTTATGGATGGGGGAATCAGATGGGCCTGTTCAGACAAAATAGGGACGTGTTAGCTGATACCAAAGGTGAGCTTATGAAAAGTTTGATTGATGAAGTTGGGGGCAAATAAAGTTTTTAAGATGTCATATTCTTTGGTTGTGTCTTGAGTTCTCTGATTTTCTTGGATTCTTATGGAAATGGATAGAACAACAGAGACTATTTTCTCTCTCTGAATTCCCCTTGTTAGACTTGGAAAGTGTCACCTAATTTTAAGTATCACTTACAAAATGAACAAGAAGTTCAATATTAATATTCAAAAAATAATAATTGTTACCATCTTAAGGTCTCTTATCTCCCTTTCTCAATTCCCAACATTTTTGTCTACTTCAGGATTCTTCTTTTAACTGTATCTGCTGTGTTTTTCTTTTGTTGTTGTTGTTGTTTTTTAATTTGGCAGTGAGAAAGTTTGTTAGCTAGGTTTGGGGGCACAAATACATCTAAAGTTAAAATAGGGAATCAGTGGGAGTATTGGAAGGGCAACAAATATTTCTTGAGTTCTGTCTGTGTGACAGACCCCTGTACTAGTTCCTTTTCTTGTAAGAATCTGTGAAGTATAAAATATTATGCCCCTGTTAAAGAAAGGGAGACTGAGGCTCATAAAGGTCCTCATAAATTGCCTGATATTATCTGATGTTCTGTTAAATGGTAAAGTCAAGGTATCTGGATTTAAGCATGATTTTTATTCTGAAGTCCATATTATTTCCACTGCCACACTTTTTCTACATGATAAAAATCTGGGTTTATTATGTTTAAATTGATTAATCACTAAAAACTGATTGGTCACAAGTAATCTGTATATTACTCTTCTCTTGCTAGTGCGTTGTGATTCTAGGTAATGAGACTTAGTTGCAAGGATGCAAGGGACCACAGAGTCTTCAACTATATAGTCCCTTTGTGTCCCCAAATTTTCCCCAACTAGTAGTACTTCTTGAGAGAAAAATAATACACCATGGTCTATTTGTCACTAACCACAGTGAATTTCCTGGCCTGGCAAGGTTCATGCAAGCCAATTCAGAGGTATGGTCTCCTCCACATCAAACTGTGTGGTAGCCTAACCTTTAACTTGGGTACTCCTCTCTGAGGCCAAAGTGCCAGGTTTCACTCAGCATCCATAGAATGAATCGTAGCAACTGTTTTCAAAGTATCTTTTGGGCTGCTCTTCTTAGAAGGGGCTTGTGAGCAAAGCAGGAACTTAGAATTTCATAGACTCCTTCCCAGCACAAGAACAGACAATGGGCATGTGAAGAAGTCAGTGAACTTCAGGGAATATCCTTGTAGCAACATCTTTCGCAGTCTTCTTTCTCCATTCACCAGTATCAAGAACATCACCAGTGGGTTGATGTATTGTTGTTTTTCTTTTTAATTTTTAATTTTTAAAAATGTTTAAATATTATTTCCTTATCTATTAATTAGATTTTTCATTTTAATTCCAGTATAGTTAACATACAGTGTTATGTTAGTTTCAGGTGTACAATATAGTGATTCAACACTTCCAGTCAACACACGATGCTCATCACAAGTGCCCTCCTTCATCCCCATCACCTATTTCACCCATTCCCCCCACCCACCTCCCCTCTGGTAACCATCAGTTTGTTCTCTAGAGTTAAGAGTCTGTTTCTTGGTTTGTCTATCTTTCTCTCTCTTTTTTTCCTTTACTTGTTTGTTTTGTTTCTTAAATTCCATGTATGAGTGAGAGCATATGGTATTTGTCTTTCTTTGACTGACTCATTTTGCTTAGCATTATACTCTCTAGTTCCATCCATGTTGCTGTAAATGGCAAGATTTCATTCTTTTTATGACTGAATAATATTCCATTGTACATATATACCACATCTTCTTTAGCCTTCATCTATCAATGGACATTTGGGCTGCTTCCATATCTTGGCTATTGTAAATAATGCTGCAGTAAACATAGGAGTGTATGTATCCCTTTGAATTAGTGTTTTTGTATTTTGGGGATAAACACCCAGATTGCTGGACTGCAGGGTAGTTCTATTGTTAACCTCTTGAGGAACTTCCATACTGTTTCCCACAGTGGCTGCCCCAGTTTGCATTCCCACCAGCAGTACACAAGAGTTCCTTTTCCTCCACATCCTTGCCAACACTTGTTATTTCTGTGTTTTTTATTTTAACCATTCTGACAGATGTAAGGTAGTTTTACTGTAGTTTTGATTTGCATTTCCCTGATGATGAGTGATGTTGAGTATCTTTTCATGTGTCTGTTGGCCGTCTATATGTCTTCTTTGGGGAAATGTCTGTTCATGTCTTCTGCCTGTTTTTTAATTGGATTACTTAGTTTTTTTGGTGTTGAGTTGTATACATTCTTTATATATTTTGGATACTAAACCTTTATCAGATATGTTATTTGCAAATATCTTCTCCCATTCAAAAGGTTGTCTTTTAGCTTTGTTGGTGGTTTCCTTTGCTGTGCAGAAGCCTTTTATTTTGATGTAGTCCCAATAGTTTATTTTTGTTTTTATTTGTCTTGCCTCAGGAGACATATCTAGAAAGATGTTGCTATGGCTAATGTCAGAGAAATTACTGCCTGTGCTCTCTTATAAGATTTTTATGGTTTCATGTCTCATATTTAGGTCTTTAATTCATTTTGGGTTTATTTTTGTGTATGGTAGAAGAAACTGGTCCAGTCTTATTCTTTTGCATGTAGCTGTCCAATTTTCCCAATATCATTAGTTGAAGAGACTGTCTTTTTCCCATTGCATATTATTTCCTCCTTCGTTGAAGATTGACCAAATAATTGTGGGTTTATTTCTGGGTTTTCTATTATGTTCTATTGATCTATCAAAAACATGTCTGTTTTTGTGCCAGTACCATACTGTTTTGATCACTACAGCTTTGTAATATAACTTGAAGTCTAGAACTATGATACCTCCAGTTTTGTTTTTCTTTTTCAAGATTGCTTTGGCTATTCAGGGTCTTTTGTAGTTCCATACAAATTTTAGGGTTGTTTGTTCTAGTTCTGTGAAAAATGCTATTGGTATTTTGATAGAGATTGCATTAAATCTATAGATTGCTTTGAGTAATGTAGGTATTTTAACAATATTCTTTCAGTCCATAAGCATGGAATATCTTTATATTTCTTTGTGTCCGCTGATGTATTGTTTTGAGTGTCTACTTTGTGCTAATCATGGTGAGAATATTAATAATTTTTAGAAATTAGAAAAATACTTAACTCTCAGAGATTGTCACTTTGCTGTGTTCACAAATATAGTAGTCAACACAAATACTGCCTAAGGAGTCGCTCAACCACTATAGAAATGTAGAAGTATTTCTTATAATCCAGGATGTTTAATTAATCAGAAATCTTATTTTCCAGGCATTCTGAGTAATCAATACTTCCTATCATTTGCACTATGACACATCTGGGTTGTTCAGTACACTTTATTCTGAATCTTTAACATTATGTGAGATATATACAATAAATATGCATTTAAATAGTCACAGCAGTGATCATAATAAATTCCAAGTGGGGATGGTGTGCTCTAATTCTCATGAATTGAGGGATAATACTTCTATATTATTGTTTTCTATAGCGAGACCTAAACACAGCTGCATGTGTCTGGCAATTTAAAAGTTTCAGTACACTGGGGCACCTGGGTGGCTCAGTCAGTTAAGCATCTGACTCTTGATTTTGGCTCAGGTCATGATCTCAGGGTCTCATTGATTGAGCCCCACATTGGTCTCCACACTCAGTGGGGAGTCATCTTGAGATTCTCTCCCTCTCCCCCTGCCCCTCCTGCTGCATGCTCTCTCTCTCTCCCCGTCTCTCTCTAAAATAAAAATAAATAATCTTTTTTAAAAGTTCCAACAAACTAATCCTTGATAATAATACTTATTTCTCTTAAGGATTAAATAACTGGAAGTTTAATTTTGCAACTACATTTAAAAATAGCGTATATCATATAGAATTGCTGATATGGGTACAGTAGAACTTTGATATTAAATCTACTGGATAAAATATGTAAAAAGATTTGTCTCTTGACCAAACTGTACTTATAGGGCAAAGTGGATCAGAGGAGTTATCCAGGGTAACACAACTCTACAGGCTCACATTGCTGTTGCTTTATTGTAAAACTGAATCTATTATAATAGATATACTTTTATGTGTCTAAAATTGAAGAACCTGTTTATAGATATTATACTCCAATGTGTTAGTTATTCACTGAATTATTAAATAAAAGAATATTTATTAAAGGACTATTTTTAATAGGTTTCCTAGTTTGGGAGAAGATAATTTGCAAATGGTATATCTGATAAGGATATAAAGAACTTATATAAAGAATTTGCACAACTTAACACACATAAAAAATCGAATTAAAAAATAGGCAGAGGGCGCCTGGGTGGCTCAGTTGGTTAAGCGACTGCCTTCAGCTCAGGTCATGATCCTGGAGTCCCTGGATCGAGTCCCGCATCGGGCTCCCTGCTTGGCGGAGAGTCTGCTTCTCCCTCTGACCCTAACCCCTCTCATATGCTCTCTCTCATTCTCTCTCTCTCAAATAAATAAATAAATACTTTAAAAAATAAAAATAAAAAAATAAAAAAATAAAAAATAGGCAGAGCTTAACTATACTTCAATTAAAAAACATGGGCAGAGGACCTGAACAGGTATTTCTCCAAAGAAGACATACAGATGGCCAACAGACACATGAAAAGATGCTCAACATCATTAATCATCAGGGAAATGCAAATCAAAACCATGATGAGATATCACCTTACACCTGTCAGAATGGCTGGAAAAAAAAGACAAGAGATAAGTGTTGGCAAGGGTGTGGAGAAAAGGGAACCCTTATGCAGTATTGGTGGGAATGTAAATTGATGCAGCCACTGTGGAACATAGTATGGAGGTTCCTCAAAACATTAAAAATAGAAATACCATATGATCCACTAGTTCTACTACTGGGTATTTACCCAAAGAAAACAAAACACTAATTTGAGAAGATATATGCACTCCCATTTTTATTGCAGCATTATTTACAATAGCCAAGATATGGAAGCAACCCAAGTATCCACCAATAGATGAATGCATAAAGAAGATGTGGATATATACACAATGGAAAATATTACTCAGCCATAAAAAGAATGAAATCTTGCCATTTGTGATAACGTGGGTGGATCTAGAGGGTATTATGCTAAGTGAAATAAGGCAGAGAAAGACAAATACCACATAATTCCACTTATATGTGGAATCTAAGAAACAAAACAAAGCAGAACAGACCCATAAATACAGAGAACAAACTGATGGTTGCCAGAGGGGAGGATGATGGGAGGATGGACAAAATGGATGAAGGGGAGTGGAAAGTGCAGGCTTACAGTTATGGAATGAATAAGACATGGGAATAAAAGGTACAGCATCGGAGGGGATAGTGTCAATGGTATTGTATTAGCATGGTATGGTAACAGATGGTAGCTACACTTACGGTGAGCATAGCATCAGGTATAGACTTGTTGAATCATTATGTTACACATCTGAAACTGATATAGCATTGTGTGTCAACTATACTTCAATTTATTTATTTTTTTAAATTTTTTTATTTTTTAAAGATTTTTTTATTTATTTGACAGAGAGAGATACAGCGAGAGAGGGAACACAAGCAGGGGGAGTGGGAGAGGGAGAAGCAGGCCTCCCGCGGAGCAGGGAGACCGATGCGGGGCTCGATCCCAGGACCCTGGGATCATGACCTGAGCCGAAGGCAGATGCTTAACAACTGAGCCACCCAGGCGCCCCCTATACTTCAATTTAAAAAAAAATATAAATGTTGGGTATATCAAGTAGTCAAAACCAAGTCTGGGCTTTTCTAGGACTCTGGATTACCACCAAATGTGGTCTGGACCTCGCCTTTTGGCCTAGGTACTCAGTTTTGTTAATGCTTGAATTTCCTGTCATCCAGGAAACAGAGCTTAGCAAATCCACCAAAGCTTTGTGTATAGCGGCATAGCAGAGAGATTAACCATGTGGGTTGCTGGAGATAGATTGCTTGATTAAACCTTGACTTTGCTTTTTACTAGATTTTGAACTTGGTCACAGTATTTGACCTCTGAGTCTCAGTGTCATCATCTGGAAAAGGTAGGGTAATAATAGTACCTCATATATTACGATTGTAGTGAAATAATGTGAATAAAATGTGAAGTGTGAATGAAATGATGCTTCTCAAGCACTTAGCCCATTTCTGGCAATACTAACCACTCAGTAAATGTTAGATGGCTACAATTATGTTGTGGATTTTCATCGTTTTGTTATTATCATGACTATTTTTATTATGTAAAGCAGAAAGTTAATATATAAATTTATAATAAAACGTAGTATAGTACCTGGAATGCTTGGGTAGCCTCTCAGTAGTACTTAATTTCTTGGTTTAAGGATAATTTAGATATAGAACCGGTAGTTAGAAAGCTGTCTGATTAATGAGGTCAGAACAGATGAACATAGGGGAAGGGAAGGAAAAATAAAATAAGATAAAAACAGAGAGGGAGGCAAACCATAAGAGACTCTTAACTATAGGAAAAAAAAACTGAGGGTCGCTGGAGGGGAGGTGGGTGGGGGGAAGGGATAATTGAATGATGGGCATTAAGGCGGGAACTTGATGTAATGAGCACTGGGTGTTATATGCAACTGAGGAATCACTAAATTCTACCCCTGGAACTAATAATACACTATATGTTAACTAAATTGAATTTAAATAAAAAATAAAAAATAATCTTTAAAAAAGATTAGCTTATATACAAATTAAAGCCTAATTTTTTTGTTTATTTGTTTTGTTTCATTTTTTGCTTTTAGCTGCCATTACCTCACCTTAACATAGTAATCTCTGGTTATCCCTGCTGGTAGAATGCTGATTGGCCACTATATTTATTGAGGTGAAATTCATATAACATAAAGTTAACCATTTTAGAGTGTATAATTTATTGGCACTTACTATATTCATAAGGTGCAAACGCTTCCTCCTAGTAGTTACAAAACATTTTTATCACTCCAAATAAAACCTCATACCCAGTAAGTAGTCACTCCCTATTTCCTGCTCCCCCTAGCCCCAGGCAACCACCAATCTACTTTCTGTCTTTTGGGATTTATTTATTTTGGATATTAAATGTAGATGGAGTCATACAATATGTGACCTTTTATATCTAACTTCTGTCATTAAGCCTAATATTTTTGAGGTTCATCTGCACTGTAGCCCGTATAGGTACTCCATTTCTTTTTATGGCTGAGTAATATTCCGTTGTATGTATAGACAATATTTTGTTTATCTGCTTATCTGTTGATGGTCTTTGATTAATTTTTAAAAGTAGAAAATTACTTAATAAATACAGCCCAGTAGAAAGATACTTTCTTTTTTTTTTTTTTTAAGATTTTATTTATTTATTTGAGAGAGAGAATGAGATAGAGAGAGCATGAGAGTGGGGAGGGCCAGAGGGAGAAGCAGACTCCCTGCCGAGCAGGGAGCCCGATGTGGGACTCGATCCCAGGACTCCAGGATCATGACCTGAGCCGAAGGCAGTCGCTTAACCAACTGAGCCACCCAGGCGCCCAAAAGATACTTTCAACATGGGATTCAAAAGCGAAAATGTTAGGATCATGAAACATAAGTGCTACATTTACCTAGCAACCATTGGATCTCCAGTGACTAGTACAGAATGTGACACACAGGAGGGACTCAATAGATATTTATTCTATGCACGAATGAATAAACTACTGTAGTATGATGTTAAAAACTGACTTATAGGTAGAATCAGTGCTCCCCATTGCACAAAGCAGAGGGTGAGGGAGCTCATTGATAGAGTCCCTGCAAGCCAGCCATAGAGGCACAGAGCAGTAGGGAGAAAGGGATCTGGAGGGGCAAACTAAGAAAGCCATCATATGCACCAAAAGTCACTCACGTCAGAGAGGGGCAAGTAGCTGCATCTCTCATCTTATCAGGGCCATAGAAGAATGAGTGATGAGTACCATACACTTACCCATGCTTGTGCTTTCCTCCATTAAACCTTACATTCTGGTTATAATACAGGAAAGCCAAAAAAGTAATATATAACAACTAATGATTTTAATTAGTATACAGTTACAATTTTGGAAATTGCTGAAATTTAAGATCCACGGAGTGACAGTAATGATGCTAAATTTTAAGAAAAATTGAAACTTGCCACACTATATATATCATATGCCCTGGATCTGATTGCAAAGAAGTAAAATAAACTTTATAGAAACTGTGCCAGTTTAAGGAGTCTGGGAAAGGATCCTTGCTGAAAGAGCTCACCACGCATTTGCAAACATAAATCAACTTTAAGACAAAATTTTCCTTGAATGTGGTAGTTGAAGAATGAATTTTCTTTGTTAGCCTATTTATGAGCATAATCAGAATACTTTCACCACCCAAAGCACCATTTAGTTATTCTCAAGATTATAATGAATTTACTCTGCTTCAGGATTGCTTTATGTCCTACATGCTATCATTTTTTTTTAAATCTGGGAGTAATACTTTTATCTGGCTAGCATAATTCAAGATTGGAACATAAGTGCTTATGCATAGTTTTCAATAATAGTTTTGTGATTTATGGACTTGCCAGGAATTAGATGAGGTCTTCACACCCAGCAGTTTGACATATTTTATTAAACAATATAAAAAATTAAGAGGTGGGGAGACAGAAACATATGTGAGTAGAAGACAGGAAAGTAAGTTCTATGAGGAATGGCTAAAGCAATGAATATAATTTAACTTAAAGAAGGGGTATTTGAAGAAAATGCTGACTAACTGGATCTTTCTCTTTATTGAGCACATGGGATAATGAACTTAATCAGTATAAGTTAAGAATATGAATACTGGATTCGAAGAGACTTAGGTGAGAGTCCCATCTCCAAACACTTATTAGCAGTCTATATAACTTTGGGCAGTTTCCTTAACTTATCTGATTTCGGTTTTCTGATATGAAAAATCAGATATAACAATAATTATCTGATAAGGTGGCTGTGAGGATTAAATGAGCTCAGCTTTGCACCCTGATGCACAGTAAATGTCCACGAAGCTATTTTTATTGTTCGAAGTCAAGGACATTTAAATATTGGACTAGATCATCAAAGGAATGGATGCTTCCCTTGAGAGCCGTGAGACTATGAGGGGGTCCCCTCTGCCTGCAAGCAACATTCTCCACATAATCCATTTATGTATTTTTCTAGCTCACAATCCTAGCAGCAAACTATAAATAAGGAGCAGCTGCTGTAAAAATCCTTTTTACTCTTTCATGTTGGCTTGCTATCTCTGGGAAGAAAATTTTTGCTATTTAAATTCCTTGTTTGTCACCCTGAATGTGGGTTGGAATCGGGGCCTTGCTCCTGATGGGGCTATACCAAAGCTTCCAGGGGGGAGCCACTACTGAGAGGTAGTCTGCTCTTGATGCCCTGCTCTTATTTCTCAGGCAAGCCTCACACCTCAGTAAGACAGATCAACTCTGCCTGATACTTTCTTTAAAGCCAAGGGTGGTTACTCTGCCAAGGCATGGGCCAGGGACTTGACATTCTCCAGGAGCAATCTCCCCCAGTGACTGTCAGAGTTGGTGGATGAGTTCTTGAGCTCCTTTACTCGTCAGGTGAGACATTTTTCTTTTACACTGTTTTCTCATAGGACTCCACCCTGGGCACCCACGTGGGATTCACTTTTATTTGCCGCTTCCTCTTTCTTGTCTCACTTCACCCACTTTCCTCTTGGTGTTTTGGGGATTACCTCTCAAATAAATTGCTTGCATTAAAAATTCTTGTTTCAGAGTCTGCTTTTGGGGGAGCCAAAGTGAGGCAGGGTGTCAGTGGCTATCTTTCATGATTTGTTGATTTGTGTTTTCCAGCTTTACTGAGATACAATGGACACATAATTGTGTAAGTTTTAGGTGTATAAAGTGTTCATTCGGTACACATATATAGTGTGTCTTTCATCTTTTCAGAGCAGTGAACATCAAGATAGAGATTATGGGAGATTTGATGTGAATGGGAAAGGATGGGATTTACTGGGGCAACTGAGAAGATGAGTGTCCATTTACTTTAATTACAAACATCTTAGTAAATATTAAGTGCCAGACACTGGTCTAAATCCCACTAGCATAAAAGATGGGTGCTGTCCTGGACAGATTCACACTCTTCTAGGAAAGACAATCCTAGCAATTCATCATTAAATTCCAAGATGATCCAAGACTTAGAAAGCTGAAAACAAAGTGCTAGGGGAGTACAGAAGAGAGAGAAGCTCAGAAGGCTGACGGAGATGTACTTCACATTCACAAAAGGAGTCTATTTTTGCTAAAGGATGAGTAGGACTTTGGTGGACTCAAGTTGGGAAGTGCCTTTGAGGCAGGAAGAGCAACCTGCACCAGCATAAAGTTTGAAGTTGCATGGAGTGTTTGCGTGGACAGTTGGAGAAAAGCTCATTGTGGGGTGGAGAAAAGGCAGGAGACCAGGGTGAGAGAATGTGAAAGGTCTGATTATGAAAAGTCTTGTCTCCTTCAACTGTAGAACAGATGACAGGAGAGGGAAGGGCTTCATGCATCAGAAAATGCAAGTGCGATGCCTTGTCCCAGCACTTCCTTTTCTGCATGTCTCTAGTGCAAGAAGAAAAGAGAGAGAAGAGACTCAGGAGAGAGGCTGTGTATTTTCAGTTACATTCATTACTGATTATCACATGCCAGACACTATGCTAGTGTGTCCTTTCCAAACCTTATCCCATTTCATCCTCATGGTAAGCCTGTGAGGTAGGACTATTAAGCTGTTTTGCTGGGGAAGACACTGAGGCTTGGAAGAGGTCCAGAAAATTGTAAGATTTGGCATCATGACTACCCGATTCAAAAGCCCTTAAACACTGTACCGTACTACTTCTCTCTTGGAAGAAGCAAATGTAGAGTGGGCAGAAGCTGCTGAGGTCACCTTTCCAAGATTGGGGTGACAGCTAACTGAAGGCAGAGGCCCACTTGCTGAGTTCTGCTCATCTGGAGCCCCAAAAGTCAGAAGACACCAGAAGGAGTAGCCATCATGTTGAAAGGCATTTGTTTTGTTATTTACTTTGGCGAAGTCTCCAGAAAATATTTTGGATTTGGAGTATTTGTTTTTTCATTGGATTCATCCTTAACAACTGCTAAAAGCATCCAACAGACGACAAGAGAATAAAAAAATCACTTCAGCCACCAACAGTGGCAATGCCAGTGCCACAGAGCAAGTGACTGTTGGCTTTGGTTAACCATTTCCTGCACTTGCCCTCATACAGCACTGTCATAATTCTGTAACACCTCAGAGTTGGTCTTTTCTTTTGCAAAAGTAAACAAAATTGTGGCTTTTCTGCTATGCTCCCAGCATTTTTGAACTACGTAATTTTTGTGAACTTTAACATTTGTCTTAAGAACACAGTTACTTGAATGAAAATGTTTGTCATTAACCTGTCATTTAACACTTGAGAAAGTTGGGCCTAATTGGTGTGACTTAAAGTTTTTTCTACAAAGGGAATTCTGAAATCTAGATAGATGAGACATATAAGATGGATCCTATGTTTT